AATCAAAAAAGGGAAAGCAGGGGGATAAGACGGAATACCAGGAGAATTCTATAAAAACCTGACGGAAGGATGACTGACAGAATTAACACAGACATTGAACGAAATATGGGTCACTGGGACGATACCAGAGGAATGGAGAAAAACCCGCATCTATCCAATTTACAAAGCTGGCGAGGAAAATCAAGCAGAGAATTTCAGGGGGTATCACTGTAAGATGTGAGATATAAGATTTTTGCTGAAAATTTAAATGACAGACTTAGATCCTAGATTAAAGAGAATGATATATTAGGGGAGTACCAAACAGGATTTAGAACAGAAAGAGGAACGAGAGATCACATCTTTACCTTAAACAGCATAATAAGGAATAAAATTAAGAGGGAAAGAGAAAGCATTCATTTGGCATTTATCGACTATAAGAGAGCTTTTGCCATAGTAGATAGGAAAAGTCTGGTGAAGAAGCTGAAAGAGGAAGGAGTATCTGGAAGAATGCTTAACATATTAACGAGATCTATAGAGAAACAACATGTGAAGTGATAATGGACAAGGGAATATCAAGGAAATTCAAAACAATGAGAGGAGTCAAACAAGGCTGCTCATTAAGCCCAACACTCTTTAATATCTACTTAAATGATTTAGACAAAATGTGGACGGATAGTACGGAAGGAGGATCAGTGATTGGTAACCAAAAAGTATATGGATTAATGTTCGCAGACGACATAGTATTGATTGTACTTCACTGCCTCGTCCGAAATATATCAAATATGTAGTACCGCCAGGTCTATGCGTTCTGACCACAGTTTTTTAAAGTAGTAAAAAATTCTAAACAAATGATGCTCATCCGATGTTTATCACGTTGTCAAGCGCCGCACAGCGTTGGGGTATCGTTGCCAAGTTCGTCATTACGCTTTCCTGTGCGTTCTGATCAACATCACGTTTAAGAAATTGATTTCTTTTTTCTTTATAAAGTTTACCATGAGCAGAAGCTCACATCATCACAGAGAGAAACGCGACCGCTCTGAATCACAAGAACGAAGTCATGAAGCATACAAGCGGAGCTGTTTCTCTCAGAGGCACGATCATCGAAACAGGTCGGTCTCGCGCTCGCATGTTCGCTCGCGTCATCATCTTCATAAGGTGAGCAGCAAGCCCACTCACTCTAATTCTCGACACCCTCGTCGAGATGGACACGAAAAACGTCCGAGACATCATGACTCCAAGTCATCGCGCGATGTACGCTGCCGTAACAACAAAGGTTACGATGTATCGCACGACCGCGAAGTCCGCTTCTCTAAAAGGGACAAGGGTCGAAAAATCGATACGAGACGTCAGAGTGCAGAGAGTTGCTCAAGAAGCGCGCCATGCAACTATTCACGCGACTCGTTTTTTGCTTCTTACGAATCGCATCGCGACCACAAAAGTTCAGAGCGCAGTCCAAGAGGCTCGCCAGATAGCAGATCAGGAAGTGAATCTCTTTATGATTCGAGCGATTCCCGCGGCCGCTCTTATTCTCGTTCAACCTCTGAATTTTCGAGCCCTTCAAGGACACGCAGTTCTTCAAGCCGATTAAAATCTCGCAGTCGCTCAAAGTCTCACAGCCGGTCACAGTCTCGCACCAGTTCAAAGTCTCGCAGTCGTTCTACATCTCGCACGAATAGCAAGGGACTTGCTGATGCTGAAACGTCAAAAGATAAACCGACTGATGGTGTAACTACTGAAAGTAAGAAAGATTTATTAAATCTTATGGTAGAAGCGGTTGTCTCCAATGAAACAGGCCCACCCATCGACTCTGAAGCAGCTAAACTTTGCGAAAAAATATGCTCCGAAGGTCTCAACAAGGAATTTAAAGATAAATTACTCAAAAAATATCGAGTTCCTGAGAATTGTTTGTCATTGAAATCCCCTAACCTTAATAGGGAAATTCAATCAATTCTCTCGAAGGTGCATCTAAGGAGAGACAAATACCAAATGGTTATGCAAAGCTAGTTGGGTTTGGCTGTTACTGCTCTAAGTAATGCGATGACAATTATGCTGTCGTCAGACAAAGCTGACGAAGAGTGTGACCAGAATAAAGCAAAAGAAATGCGTGAAAAGAAATTTTATTTTCTTGTCAGATTGCGCAAACATGCTGCTTGATTTACATCATGAAATTTCGTTAACAAGAAGGGCCTTCATTAATCCAAGTCTCAAGCAAATCGTATCAAACGTGGCTGATGATGCGAAGGTCGATTCCCTGTTGTTTGGCAAAGACTTCCCGGACCACGTGAAGAATTCCAAGGCCATGGAGAAGACTGGCAAAGACGCCGCTAAGTTTGACAAGCAAGGGAAACGACGCGATTATTCCAGATGCAAGTCAAGTTTTCGTGGTCGTCGTAAATCAACTTTAAACTCAAGAGGCCCCTACAAGCGGCGCGGGAGCTCCCGTCAGGAGAGGGGCCAGGGACGATCCAACAACTACAGCAGGAGCCAAGGCCAGCAGAACGACCAGCGAAAGTGACAGTAAGTCGTCTCGCTGGCCGAGTTTTTATAGTGACATATATTTGATTTGTTAATCAATTAAAAATTATAGAGTATTTATATCAAAGTATATATAACTGTCTGATAATGCGATTTTTAATTTAATGTTAAAAACATTACTTCAGTTTAAAAACGTTTTTTAGAATTGTCTATAAAAATACGTATAAATTACGTAAAAGCTTTGAATTATGAAGAAATTCATTCAAATAGCTATATATAAAATAAATGTATCTTAATAAAAAGATATCAACCATTAACCATTCATCTCAAAATGTATGGTAAATACATTAAATGTATATTTATATATTAGGCACCAAGTTTTAAAGTTTATTTACTTACATTTTAAAAATACAATGTTCTAGCTTTATAATCTATATTCATCTATGATTCTGAACTCAAAAAGTCTTCTTAAATTTATTACTGTGATAGCAGGCCGTAATTAACCTTAATTTAATTTTTTTACCTAATTAATTTATAGAAATTAAATATCAGAATGAAAACCAACATTATATGTAGAAAGAGCAAGGTTAAGAAAAGCAGTTCACTGCCCGATCTTGTTCTTTCTCACTCAACAGCCCTCGAGAGTTATCATGATGATAGGAGGAGGGGGCCATAAAAGTACAATCTATCTTTTTCCACGGAATATTTCTCTTTGTAAGAAGGTTTAGAATTTATCATTGAAACCGAATGAAATAAAATTGTAGGAATCCGAAAAATATTCCTACCCTAATTAATAATAAATAATCATATATACCCAAAATATCTTATCAAGTTATCATTCTGAAGCTTAAATTAGTCAAAAAATAGCGAAAATCATAAAAAAATGTCCGTAATATTAATATTAATATTAGGTTTTAAGTATTTTCGTAAATTATTACTATAAGAAACCAGATAATAACTAACTTTAAAATCATTGTACTGTAATGTGCACACTTTCGAAATATATTTTTATAACTACGAAATAACTAATAAATAATTAATCTTTCATATTTCAACCCGAAGTAAAACAAATATTAGAAGTGTAATAAAATTTTTTATGAATCTTATATATTTTGCAAGCTTTTCTAATTGTTTTATAATAAATAAATATTAAATTATTGTATTTTATAGTTATTACGATTAATTCTTTTGTTAATTAAGTATTGTGTATCATAATAGTCAATTAAATCCGCGATAATAATTATAAATAATAGCGACACTCTTACTCTCGAAATTGATAGTTCGAGAGCCATTTTTGAAGAAAAGTATCCAAGCTTAAAAGGGATCGCTCCTCTCTCTCTCTCTCTCTCTCTCTCTCTCTCTCTCTCTCTCTGAAAACTCACGCCCACAGGCTAATAAAAAATACTAGATAGGATAAGAAAATTTTTCCATCAATACAAAACTCAGCCGTCATCGTCTCATGGGTCTGAAGAAGGGGATTTCCAGCCAACTACTCCCTGACTATAAAAGCTCTTCGTAAGGCCGCACAACAGTGACGTTCGGAAGTTCGGGAGTTCGAGAGTCCAGCACTCCAGTAGTACGAAGAAGAATTAAATAGTGAAGTAGAGAAGGACAGCCAGTTCGAAAGAAACCAGCTAAAAGAGATAGAAAGTAGAGAGCAAGAGGGACGCAGTTTCCATTACAAACTAAAACAATCAAATAAAAAGTAGGAACAATTTTATTTGGCTATCTTTTCTTTCTTTACTAGTACCTTTCTGGAAATTCATCAAGCTTGTGTCTAATGAATTTCCATTAGAGTCCCTTAAGAACACATTAAGTGAGTATCTGGTGTTTTCGTAATACCACTTAGTTATTACCTATCTATTAACATACAATTTCCTATACGCAACAATATTGCTCGTCCCGGCTTATGCGTTATACGCGAGCCAAATCAGAGCAACTCTGAGTCTACGTTTACTCCAAGCGTATCCGAGTGTAACCCCGACGTCACATTACATTCAAAGAAAATAATTCTCATAATGATTTCGAATATTTTTTAAAATATATTGATACTGGGTGACTTCTTTTACATAAATTTATTGCAAATGTTTATTAAAAATATCAGAAATAATGTGGAAAAAATTAATACAATAAATATTAAACGATTAATATTGAATGAACTACAATTAAACAAAATGGCAATTAAATTTCAATTTAAAAGTACTCAAATGATTCATTAAAATTAAAATTAATTATAATTTTAATGAATCAATAAAAGTACCTTCAAGTAATCTATGTCTACAAGATTCATTTGAAAATTACATTTGAATATGTACCATCTTCAACTTGCGATATTTCATGAAGTTCAATGATAGTTCATGATTTAGAAGCAACAATCAATAAATCCCGTTTTTGTAGAAAGCAAACTATTGTATACCAAATAATTTTTTTTATACATATCTCATACTATGACAACTGTTTTTATGCAAATAAAATTAATGTTTTCTATTTTAATATAATATACTTTTAAAGCTGGGCGCAGACAATGTAATGCAATGAAAAACGCATTAAGATTTTATAATTTTTAATTTATTTATTCTTTTATTTATTTACTCAAGTGGAAGGCAATCGATCAATTTGCAACAAATAAAAATAAATAACACTCTCTCTTTCTAGCGATATATTAATATTAATTATATTAATGAATGGGTTCGCTCGATACTAAAACTATCTGAATCAATGACAATGAATTCATAATTCACAATAGAGTTACATTCGTTTCCATGATCCATTGATGGTAAAAATTACAAAATATAATTATTTTCAACAGTTTTTGCTCTTTGCACTATTAATTAACGAATTACCAGTTTTGCACACGCTATGCTCGAATTTAAAAAAACTCAAAAGGAATATTTTTTATACCCTTCATATATCCTTTTATACAGTGATTTCAATCCCGAGAGATAATATTTTTATCTTACGAGATCGCGTGCAAAAATGGGAGCAAATTAAAATCCCTTAAACGGTGGCAGACTACCAGATTCACACAGCCTGACAGAACAATCAATCATTTAAAAATTCAAGACCCATGAAACAAATTCAATGATCTACATGATTTTTGTCTTCATGAATAGTAGTTTTCGAACATTTACAATGAAAATTATAATAACTTTAATAATATCATAATAATAATATCTCAAATACAACGCATTATTTATTAAAGGAGCTTAAAAACAGCATCCATCTCTCATACGTACTTACATATTCGAAATCTCATCCAATGTCTACTTTACATCCAATTTTTACTATTTTCTATACTGAAAACGATTGCCTTTTTCCTTTCGATCTCGCAATCTAAAGTATTACACAGTACGTAAATATATTACAATATATTACATTAAACAATAAATGTTTATTGTCATGGCAAATATGGTATCCAAAGAAAAAAATCGATGGTTTTCATTTTTGTTTACTTAATTCTTCCACCAAAATTTGGTACTGAATTACGTGATTATTTCGTTGAAATTGTGGAATATAAGATAAACATGAAAACAAACGAATTTTCAAATTATAAATTATGACATATACATAACTTCACAAAGTCGAGGTTGGTTTTTGCGTTATTCTTCTTAGATTTTAATTTTCAATTTTATTTGACGGACTGTTATTGGATTGAGTCATTAGATCAAGGGATGGTGAATATCATAAATGCAAACGTGATAAGGGAGTCTGAGCCAAGTGATAAGTAACAAGTATATCTATCAGCACAAATTAGCATATAACACAAATTTAGCATGTAAATATTCAAAGTTTAGTTATAAATGCATTCATAATAGCTTTTACAACTCTTTGTTTTTGAGCGAAAGAGATAGTTTGGAACAAGGAACGCATACAACACACAAATTATGGCTCTATACGACTCTAGGAATTGTCCGACAATCGTTTGGAATGTTGCCTTTGTTAACTTTTGGCAGAATTCATTTGTTCATTTTATCGTTTACATGATAAACGTAATTCACAACAATATAAAAGAAGACATTGACGCTTATGAAACAAACCTCGACTACATCGTACAATACAATTTCATTTAATTCAAGGTGATACGAATGAATATTAACAAGTACGTTTCTAAAAGAATTTTAAGCTCGTAGAAAAAATATTGACTTACAGTTTTTAAGTAACTGATATATAAATGTTCATTCACATGTAATAAACATTTTATAGAATTAAAAATAAAAATCATTTAATAGTTTTTTAACAATGTTTCTATTATAGATAAAATAATTTTTTCTACGAACTAAATAAACATAAATTTTAGTATTTTGTAAGAGCATGTGAGTTTTAACGCTTATAAGAAATAAAAGCACATTTTGCCTAAACAAAACGCGATTTAAGTGGTATTTATATCAATTCTCATGCATGAAATGCTATAATTAATGTTAAGTAAAATTATTTGCTGTAACTGCGGGTATCGCGTCGAATTTGATACGCTTTCAGCTTCTCTAAATTTTGTTATAAAAGCGAAACGTTTAATTAAATTTAGTAAGTTATTAGCTAAAATTGCACGAGATGTTTGATAAGATGCTTTTACATTTCAATACAAGCTTTGATACTGGTAAAATAGAAGAAACACTGGAATGTTACAAGAATCAACACAATACCGAAAATTGGAGCGGTAGAGCAATTCTAATTGTTCTGTGCAAAATGTAATGAGAAGAAAGAGAGCAGAAAACGATCGCAGTAACCCGTCAATGCGTAGCATATTAGAAAAAAACTTTTTTTGTATCGTTTCGTTATTATATATTTTTTTTACGATAAGAAACTCAAAAAACGTTGCATAACTCATGTTTGAAAATGCGTAAATATATTTTCTGTTATTGACTCTAAACCCTAATTTATTTTTTTTATCTTTTTCATTTCCTGTATAAATAGTTTCGCACCTTCATTTAGATGACGTGACTAACAGATGAAAGCAGCTCCAATATTAGCAATTTAATCGTTAACATTGAAATAACTTATATTTTTCCTGGAGTTCTGGGCGTTACGGCTTATAACGAAAAACTCAAGCAACACACAGTAGCAGGCTGCCGACAATAAAGCTAGTCATATTAATCTAGTTTTACGGAGACTTTCTTTGGAGATAATTTTTTCAATAATTTCCTTAACTCGCTAATGACATATTCACTTCGTGATCTTGCGATTGGCCTTTATCTTTAGTCATTGTTTTTTCCATTACCGATATAAACGTATTATTTCAAAACGCTGCACAAATACAAATATAACGTGTAGACGCAGTGCAAGAATCAGTAATAGAAAAAATAGATGATTTTTACATACTGACATAAAGTACATCGCAATCAATGCATGAAAATATGATACTTATGTTGTATTCATTCCAGCGGGCATTAAGGCATTCAGCGGGATTCACCGAACCCCTTAGCGAACCCATGTAAAACGCCACAATTGTCGCTTTCGAATAAACTTGTTCAAGTACGCCATTATCATTTTTACATAAAAAATATAGTCCTTATATAATTATACATGTGCATGTATGTGTACAAATATAATACCCAGACATACACACACACACACACCCACACACACACACACACACACACAGACACACAGACATACACACGCGCGCATGTACGTATGCGTGCGAGCACACGCAAATACGTATGTGCATTATGTATACATGTGCGCGCGCAATGCACACCAAACATAAGTAATAATCTAAGAGTTTATATGCAAAGTGGTCATTGTTAAGTACACAAAGTGAAGGGCCGCCGAGAAGAGGACGGCTCACTGATCGACGGCTAGGTGGCAAAGTCAGCTTGGCCATTGTCCCAATTTAAGGATAGATCGCCGGCCATCTTGAAGTCTGGATCGAAAATATCCTCGAACGTGTCCTGACTGTTGGCGAGCATTGGATCGTAGATGTCATTGTGAATCTGCGAAGATGAGGATGCGATGGTTTGATTGGTGGTCGGTGTTGTGACGGAGATTGTCGTCGTTACCGAGGACTGTGGCGAGGGGTTTATCAAGTCGAGCCACTCGGAATCCATGTCCATGGGAACGTCGCCGATATCCATGAACTCTTGGGAGCTTTCGTTTATTTTCACGCCAAAGTCACACTCCAGCTGGCTAAAATCCATGTTGTCAAAGTCTATACCAAATTCCTGCAAAGGCAAAGTGGAGCATTGATTTCGATGAGCAATCCCATGAGGGAAAGAAGGGCTTTAAGAGAAGGTCACCTTGAGATCCAAATTGGCATTATCAGAGGAAGTGACCTCTTGAGGAGGCTGGGGGTCTGGGGAGTCATGTTGCACCAACTGGGGGCTGAGCAGCATGGTCGCCTCGAGATCAGATTCACCGCTGAGAAGCTCGGTCGCGAAGCTCGTCAGTCGTTCGTGCTGTTGACGCTGCTGCTGCTGCTGGCGATGCTGTTGCTGCTGCTGCTGCTGCTGGCGATGTTGTTGCTGCTGCTGCTGCTGATGATGATGATGATGCTGCTGCTGCTGCTGTTGATAAAGCTCGCTGGCCAGCTGAACGCTGAAGGTGGCGAGAGGCAGCGGCGGCGGCCGCGGGGGTTGCTCCTGTTGCTGCTGCTGCGATGGCGCCGGACTCGGACACTCGCTCTGGGTTACCTCCATCGGGCTGGCCGCGGCAAAGACCAGCGACTGCGTAGCACTATCGGCCGCGCTGAGCACCAAGCCTTGGGGCAGTTGCCGACTGGGCGTCGTTGGCGTGACCGGCTCCTGCGCGGCGCTTGGCGGCAGTTCGCCATTGTTTATCAGGATCTCCAACACATCGTCGATCATCTGGCTCTTGACCGGACCCTTCTGCGCGGGCTCGATCTTCACCTGTAAGACCATCGCGGCAGCCTCGTTAGCGGGCGAAACACGCGCACGGCTTATAGCCGATCCGACGAAGCGGAGGACCGCTTACCTTGAGCAGCTTGGCCGCCTCGTCGTATTGCGGCGGCGGCGGCTTAACGTCGTTGACGGATGCCGTGACGAGCTGTTGTTGGCTGTGAGCCTGAGCAACCAGCGCTCCTATGATCGAGCCGTTGAGCTTGGTTAGGTTGGGCTTGGCCAGGTTGAGCACGATGGCGGCGGGCACCTGCACGGTGGTCGTGGTGGCGTTACCGTTTTTGCTCTGATTCTTTTTGTTGTTGATGGCAGTGAGCGTAGCCGAGTCGATGATGGTCGCGTTGTTGGGCTGCGCTTGTAGGAACGCAGCGAGGTTAGCCTTGGTGCTGAGCTGCTGCAAGGCGATCTGCTGGGCCTGTTGGCTCTGCAACTGCTGCTGTTGGGCTTGCTGGTGCAGCTGCTGCAACTGCTGCAGTTGCCGCGTCAACTCTTGCTGCTGAATTTTGTTGTGGATGTGCTGCTGCAGCATCAGCTTCTCCACTCCCCTCACCGGATTCTGCGGTTGGCTTTGAACTCGCGAGAGCTCTCGTTGCAGTATCTCGATCTTCTTGCGATAGTGCTCCTTTAGCTTTTTGTCGCCTGGAAAAGCCAACGAGCAAGTTGATCTGGCGCTCGCGGATCAAGGCACCGGACGTAACTTACCTGGTGGACTCGAGGAATCGTCGTGCTCGCTTCCGTGAGACGAATCGGATCTCGGACTGGGAATCGGCTCGTCCTTGATCGTGATCGAGTGACAGCTGGCGTCGTCCACGGACATGGGTGCAGGCGTGTCCATGAGTATGTGTCCATGCGTAACGTGGTGGCCGTTCGTGTTGGCCGTGGCGTTGCTGCTCGACGACTCCGTGAATGGCTTCAGTCGTTCGATCAGTTGTGGCTTCGAGCCGGACACTGGCAAGTTTCGTCGCTTCAATTCCACCTTCAGGTCGCTCACTGAAAAATAAAATCATTCGAAAAGTCGGCTTGTTAATAGCTCCGGACTGAAGCCAAGCTTGGGGCCGCCACCACCGAGACTGACCTTTCATGTCCTCCAATTTACCGAGCGGCCTGAGAGGCGGCTGCTCGGATTGACTGCTCGAGGCGTTGGACGGTGCGGGGCTCGGTGCGTTGACGCTCATACCGCTGAGGCTAGCGCTGTCGCTGACTACGCTGCTCGTTGTCGTCAGCGAGATGGGCGGCTTTTGCGACGCTGGCAAGATCAGCTGTGGGAACTGTCGATCAGAATGGACGGCACATGAGTATGCGGATACTTTCTCGAATGACGAATGAAAGTTTCCTGCGAGCAGGATGATCGGATAATTGCTCAAATTGAGCTTCACCTGTAGAGCCTGAATAGAGCCAAGACAATACCACGTTAACGAGCTCTGTTCCAATCATTTCGTTTCGTGGAACAGTTTATTAGACTAGCATATGCCAATGAGATTGCCTTGTATTTTCACGCTCTTTTAACGATAATAATTGTGCGCCTCGGAACCTGTTACTCAACTTGAGTACTACGAAGAAAGTATGGACCGACCCAACACCATGATTCTCAACGCACTTTCTCATTAACAATTATTTACCAACACTCAAATCTACAAAGATACTAGATAGAAATATCCAATGATTGTAAAACTACAACGGAAATTCAAATTCTTAGACTCGTTGTGGCTATTACAACGTTATTATTAATTTTTCGCTGTATATACAAAATTAGTTTACAATGTTTTGCCAACGAGTTTTTTTCGATTCATTTACATATTGGATGCCCATTTCGTATAATTCGATACTTTTAAATTATAATACGTGATCACATATATTTCATAGTTTATAGTACAAGGACCGAGGCAAAGCTGGTAAGTCAACGATTAGATTATTACTAGATGTGGATCTTTGAAAAGCAGTGTTAAAATATAAAGCTTAATATGATGACTACATTATGGTGTTAGTTTCAAGTATACACAAACGGTATAGTATTATAGTATTTTCAAATTGTTAGTAAATACTGCTCAAGGCTGATGTTATATTTTTTTTTGGAAAAAGATGAGTTGGAAAACCTCGAATTTCCGCTTAATTTCGTAGAGAAGCCTTATTGATTATATGCATTTACACATCCCAATACCATGAATAGTAGAAGAAGAAAATATTTGTGCATGATTAAAGTAAAACTAACCAATCTGGGTTGATGATGAATCTGTCCGTTTCCCTGTTGAAAGTACATGAAAGTATAACTACAGTTAATTTTCACGTTCAATTCAAGTTCGTATCATATTGTACTAGAAATCCACTTTGAATTTACATCAACTTGAAGGGCTCGAACAATTCCCATTTCCATAAATTTGATGCATTTGTCGAGCGTCAAATTAATTGCAATTGAAATGATAAATTAACAAATTAAATAAGTAAATATTCGTTAGAATTTTTTAGATCTGCAAGTTGAAAGCTTAAATTCAATAGAGTCGAAAGTATGGTCGGGTAGTTCGAACGCGCATGGCTGAACCGACAGCGCGGACCGTAATCATTATCATGATGTAGCTGTTTTTGCTTCGTAAATTAGTCGAGAAAAAAAAACACTTTCCGGGCATAAAATGACACGTTAGCTAATAAACTCGCGTCTATATTATTTTACAAAAAAATCGATGTAATTTGTACGAGTACGTCATGCAGGGAACATGGGATGACGTTGCTTTGAAAGGCGCCATATATTTGATTGATTCGAGGAAAATAATATGGAAGAATATTGGTATAGAAGACAAGGATCGGTGTGCCGACGGATAAATATAATGGTAAAAGAAAACATGGGATATACCGTGCAATGAAACTAGCGCTCGAACTACCTGAAATGATAAAAAGTACCTTGTTTCTGACCTCGACCTGCCATTGCAGAAAGAGTTGTTGCTGCTGCAGAAGAATCTCGTATTTAGTCTCGTTGTGTTGCGCCGAGCCAAGGCCGGAAGTTGAGTCGTTTGACTTTTGAGCGTTTGGTGGGCCCTGCAACATCGAGAGCAGGAATTCACATGCCGATCGAGCTTGGAGAGAAGATCTGTGCCCGTCCGAGAGTTTCCGAGCATCGTCGCCCGAGTTTTCCTCGTTTGGTTCTCCGAGTTGAGAATCACGCGCGATCACATCCGCCGAGCAAAGGTAAACGAAATGGTAGGATACGAACGGACGGCGAAGGTGGACAGTTTCAATAAGTACGCGGCTTATCGCGCTGAAATTTATACCTCGGACCGTTAACGCCCTCGGCCGTTAAGGAACGAAAATAACCAACAGTCGGCACGAGTGCAGGCGCGAAATCTTGTAATCCGATCCGCGATTGACAAATTTCGCGAAATCTTGACGGTCATCCGATACCCCGAACGAGCGCTCACACGGGCCAGATGGCAATCACGGTTATCGGTTCTTCGGGGCAGCGCAGCTCCTCCTCCGCGCGAGCGCAACTGCCAGAAGTGGAGAAAATTGGCCTACACTTCGAAGCGAGTAATTAACGCTCGAATTACTCGGGCCTAACGAGGTGGCTCGCACTTGGGCCCGGAGTCGATCGCGAGGCTCCGTCGGCCGATAACATCTGTTGCCGGCGAGAGCCAGATACGCGAGACGGCTGTCGGCCGAGAAAGTTGAGAAATAAAAGCGTCGCGGAGGATCGCGCTGGAATTCCGTTCGCGCGGAGGCGACGGATCACGACGGGATAATAAAAGCTCGGCCAGCCGCGGACAAGGGAAGCAACAGCAGGGCTCCTACGAGAGCACGTCGCTGGCTCTCGTAGGAGCTTCGAATAGTCGGCCGAGATTGTTAAAGCGTGCCTCGCTCGCTCGCTCGCGTGCGTGCGTGCGTGCGTGCGTGCAAAAGAGCCTGCAAAACCAGGTAGCGCGCCCGATAAGCCGCGCGGAGGAAGGAATAAATAAAGAAAGTCAATGGGAGTCGTAAAGCGGCCGAGATGAGAAAAAATGGAGAGCAGAGCAGACAGGGAGAATTAGAGAGATAGAGACGAGTATAAGAGATATCGGAGAAGCGCGGAGAGCGAATCGGCCGTGCAAAGAGAAGAGGAGAGAAGAGAAGAAGCGACGCGCGGCGCGGTTTATCTGCGACCAAGCCCTCCCCTCCCTTCCCCTCCCCACACCCTCTCTCTCGCCTCGCGGTTACTCGTATCTCCCTTTTTGCGATGCGCGCGTGCAAGCGTGCATCGTGTCTCGAGTAATTGAACGCTGCCCGCGAAAAATACGAGCCAAGTCGCAAAAAGGTGGTCGCATCGGGCGGCTTCCGGAAGTCTGGGCCTGCAGTGGCCCAGTGCGCCGCGGCCCTTACCTTGTACTCGTGGAACTTGATGGTCCGCGCCTTGGGCTGACTCTTGGTCTTGGACTTTTTGCGATTCTTGTCCTTGCCGGGCGCGTCGCTCCTCTGCTGGGCCCCGCCGCTCGCCGCGGCGATCGGGCTGGGCTGCGGCCTCGGCGTGATGGCCGCCGGCGGCGCGGGCGGCGAGGCTATCGAGATGTTCGACAGCGGACTGAGGCTGGAGGTGGTGGAGCCCAGCGACATGGGACTGGGCGCCGGGGCCAGCGGCAGCAGCGTCGTCGAGGACATGCTGCCCGCCGGGCTTGCCTGTCGTCAACAGTCAGCGCACATTCAGCCTCGACGGCGTGGCTACGCGCAAGCGTCTAGTCTAAGAAATGCGATGCGTACGATGGAGATGAAGAGCGGGCTGTCGGCCACCGGCGCCGCGGCGGCCAGCTGCTGCGGCTGCTGCTGCTGGGCCTGCTGCTGCTGGGCCTGCTGCTGCTGGGCCTGCTGCTGTTGGGCCGGCAGCTCCGGGCCGGCGACCACGCCGCTGCACAGCTCGGCCAAGGTGCAGCTCCTGGAGCTCTGGAAGACGGGCGAGCCGGCGCCGACGACGGCCACGGCGCTGCACTCGCTGACCGGCAGGCTGAGCGAGACGACGATGGGGCTGGCGGCGTCGCCGGAGACGGGCCGAGCGAGGGGCGCCGCCGCGGCCGAGGCCGAGGCCGTCGAGGCCGTCGAGGGGGCGGGCGAGCAGCCGGCGGCCTCGACGGCCGGCGACGCGGCTCCGCCCTCCGAGCTCTGCGAGTCGTCCTCGAAGGTGATGTAGTGGTCGGGGTGCTGGGGCTTGGTCACCTGGCCCTCGCTCGTGGCCTTGAACGGGATGTGGCCCTCTGCGGAGAGGAGAGCAGGGTCGAGTGGTGAGCCGGGGCTCGGGCGGGAGCTCGCGCGGGGGCTCGGACGCTCACCTTTGACCGCCCTCTCGATGGGCTCCTCCGTGTGCAGAATGTTCTTCTGGATGAGCTCGAGGGGCCCCGGTCTGTGGCTCAGCTGGTCGTTGAGCTGGTCGGCGAGCTTGGCCTTCTTCAGCTGGCGGTGCTTCTCGGCGATGCTCGGGTCGACGTGGCTCTCGGCCTCGAGGATGTGCTGGCGCACCAGCTCGTCGCGGCCGGGCCTGCGCTGGATCTTCTGCTTGAGCAGGTCGCCGGTCTTGCGGCGCTCCAGCTGCTTGGCCTGCTCGTGGAAGGCCGGTGGCGTTTTCAGGGCTGGCGGACAGGCAACGAGCAGCGATTATCAAGTAATTAGACCGGCGGAAAAAACGGAGGCGCGCGCTCGTTTAAAACGGTTCGAGCGGCGGTTGCGAGCTGCTCCATAAATAAACCGAGCCAGCGCACGCGCGGCTAACGAGAATTATCCGCCGATCGACAATTAAACCGAACGTGTTTGAATTCGGCCTGGAAAACAATGCACTGCAGCGGCTGCCGGCCGCTGTCGGCCGTCATTATTTTCTTCTGTGCCGCTATCCCAGGCATCTATCGGATCCCGGCCGATCGGACCGGGGCCTTCTCCCCGGAGTCCCGGGGCGATCTCTCCTCGGGGCAGCCGGGCTCGGCGCGCCTCGGTGCGACCTCGGCGACAATCGGAGGCAAGGCCGCTCGGCTCGGCTTCTTGCGGCCGCTAGCGACGCCCACTTGGCGGCGAATCGTCGCTGCGTCGTGGACACGTGCTGCGCCACTCGCTCGACCGGCCGTCAATTATCGATCTACGCGGCCGCGTTCGTTTTGCTTTTTGTCGATCGAACGGGCCGCCGAGTCGAAGGACGCGCGCATAATACGAGCGGAGCGCGTTACGCAGTCGGCCGCTCGTCGCTGGTTTTTCTCGCCTTGGCTCGATGTCCTTTTTAATTTGCCATGCACCCGTGCGCGCCAGCGATTCCGTTGAAACGATAATGTCGGCCTGGCGTTTTTTCGGAGCAGCGGCTTTGGCAATTAAGCGCCTTCGAGATCCGCTGAAAATTATCGACGCGCCGCGGCGAGCCGGCAGCCCGTTCTGGCCCCGGCGCGTTCGTTGCGGCGCGCAGAGCTCATTCGGCGAAGGATGGACGATGAAAATGAAAATGGCGCGAACGAGCAGGCGCGGGCAAAAACAAAGCAAAACATCCGTCAGCGTGCGCGTAATGTATGTATTAAGCCGCGATACTGGGAGTCGCCGAGAAAAACTTACGAGGCATGATTCCTTGGGCGACAAGTTGGTTGTACGGCCGCCTTAGCATCAGCTTCACCTTCAACGCTGCAACACACACAACAAACGACAATACTAATTAGTACAAGTTTCATTCGAGCTCGAGCTCGAGCTTTTGCCCACGCTCAGTCAGGTTTGGAGCGTCCGAGCGCTAGCGGATAACGACGCTTGCGCCAGACACATTTGGCATGCACCACTCGGTCCATTTTTTTGGCGGGCTTTCTCGGACGTGGGCTTGCGTACGCAGGAAGCCGTAGCGAGCAATCAAACCAGTTTTCGAAGCAATAGGCACGCGAGGAATGACGAGTCGGGCCCTGCCGAGGGGACGCGGGGAAAGACCGAAAGACCGGAGCGCGCGCATGCCAAGCAGACGAGAGCAATGTCAAAAGTCGATGAGGCTCGATGTCACTGAATTGGCAGCATATTGCGCGGGCGCACGTACATACAAATTAACACACAAAGGGGCCCGGGATATAAGTAGCGGTGAAGAGGTGGGGGGTCGGGGGGGCAGTTAGGCGGTGCGCCGAGCATCGCATAAATCGGAGGCTCAGTGGGAAAAACAATCGAGCGTCGCGCAATCTGAATTCAAAGCGGTTTATATAGCTGCCTGCATCAGAGCTATTCGTTTTGCGAAACGATCGCTTTTTGCTGCCACCCACGCTTTCGGCAACGAGCTTCATTTTCACTCCTTTACAATGATAGTTGGATCGTCGCGTGGATGCTCCTTCGCTGAGATTCGTCCGAGCAGTGACTGCTACCTCAGCCCCAAAGCTTACAGTCTGGTGAACGCCAACGAGAGATTCGTTCGGTCGACAGGCCGCGAGAGCAGCGAATCGTTGGCGTGAACGTAACCAAGGCACTCTCCCTCTCTCTGGATTACAGCTCTCGGCGCCTCGACTAATTGGGCTGCGGGCTGCAGTAATCGGTAGCGAGTGCCTCGGATTCCGGACCCCAATGATTTAGGCAGCTCGAGCTGTGCCACGCGTCCGCGGCATCCGCGCACACCTTCATTGCCATTTACGCGCTGCAGGGATGCGAAAAATGCCGCCACTTAGCGCGCCTCGCGATAACAACACTTGTACGCACATTGCGCTACGGCTCCCTAAAGCTTCCCTGTCAATTCGCGCATTTATTTTGACGCCTCGGCAAGCGCAGCGCTCACGGAATTCACCTCCGACTATTTTTTTTCACTGTATAATGGCGGCAGCGACGCCGCGGCGATTTCACACCGTTCCACGTCTGAAAGCACTCCACTTATATATCCCGCGCAGCAGAGCGGCGCGATTCAAAGGCGGATGAAAGACCGTGTCGTTTTTCAAATGGCAAATTACTCTTGTCCTTTCGAGAGAGAGAGAGAGAGAGAGAGAGATTCGGTCATTCAGCAGGAAGCAAAGAAGCGTCAAAGGAGCGACCTGGCGCTATAGAAGCTCGTCGGTCTGTCGTACGCGCGCTCTATTCGCCGAAAACAATTACGCAAGCTTCTTCTTCGCCGCGCGTCGCACATATTGTGCGCAATGCCCATTTTCCTTTTCGGCTCCTTGATTGCCATTTGACGCGCGATTAAACTGCGCCTTAAGCCTTACAAAGACTTGCAAAAGAAAAACAAAAAAAAAGAGAGAAAAAGGAGAGCGCCGCGTACGTCGTTCAGCCATAAGACCAGATGATTTATTGTTCCGAAGTGTCCCTCTCTTTCGTTCAGTCTTCTCTCAGGGATTCGCTTACAATTGATTCGATAAATTGAAGCTGTTTTCATCTCGAGAGTAGTTGCTTCGAGAAGTAGACGATTTCCAAACTCTAGAGCTGCTTGGCGATGGGTAAGGCGAGCCTGAACGCATCTATCCGAGTAAATCCTGGACAATTTGGTGTGGATTCAGAAATAGGCTTGATCTCGGTATTCCAAATGACTGGCGCGTTATAAAGTATTTATAGGATAAACAGAAAAGAGTGGCTGAAAAGCTGTCCCGCACAACTAGAAATCATTTCTATAAATAAAACGACGCGTTGTAAAAGCGCGAGACATTCGAAAAAGTGTCGAAGCAAGTGTGAAAGTGCCGGGAGCGTAATAAAAACCAAAAATATCACTAGGAGGGAGGCGCTCGGAGCTTCGGCCAGGCATCACTCGGCTAGGCGTACGATCGATTATACGTACGCGCGCAAGGCATGCGAGCGAATGGCCAATTTGCCTCGCGAGTCATATGCTTGGGCACGCGCTCGTATCGCTGCTGCCAAAGAGGCTTCGTCTTCATTGGGATTCCGCGCGCGTCAACGCACGCGGCCGTCGGCGCCTATTGTCCCGAGTCTCAATGCTCCCTAATGCCGTTCGCATTACGCATTTCCCGTCGCTGTTCCTGCTCCGCTCGTCGGTCCGTCCTCGCTAGTCCGACGCCTGTGCCAACGACACCCGGCACTCGACTTTTGCAATTTCGGTTGGCGCGTCACGGCAGATCGCGCGTGCGACAATGAGCGAAGGAAAGCAAGCGTGTACCAGAAGCCATTGAGAAAAACAAAGTAGGCAGGATGATCGGCGTGTGGCGCGACAAAAAGATCGGAGGGCCCGTGCGCGCGCGCGCGCGCGTGCGAGAGTGAGAGAAATGATCAAATGAGAATGAACGACGAGTTGCAAAAAGAAGAAGAATGCAGTTTATTAGTGGCCAGGGCATTTTGCCCCCGAGGCGCTGAAAAAAAGCGCCCCGTGCGCGCCTTTCCGAGACATTCCAGCTGCCATAACGACTTGGATCGTGGAAAAAAGACCAGGCAGATGATAAGATTGCGAGATACGGACGTGTGCGCAGCGCGGCTCGCCGGCTAAAACCGTCAATTATCGGCGGAAAAATGTATTTGTCGCCGATGCTTTTTGCCTGCGCCGCAGCGTCGCGTCGCGACGCGTCGCCAATTGCCGTGCGAAGCACCGCTGCCGCGGCACTCTGGCGTGCTCGCCGAACGCTAATCCCACGTTCGCTTGCACGCGGCCACGCGCCATCGCTAGTCACCCATTTGTCGTTATCAGTCAGGCCGCCAATCGATCGAACGGCATTTTAATTGCACTGCCTGAGGCGCGCGCGCCTCGCCTCGGCTGCGCACTCGTCGTCGGAGAAATTAGGCAGGCACTGGCTGCGGAGACGTACCAGCGGCGCCGAGGAACGATCACTCGGACGCGAGTGGCAGTGTGCGCGTGACGGGCCGCGTGCGGAGCGCGCGCTACGAAGGCCCCGCCTTCCGCGAGCCGACGCTGGCCGCCACGCCTTCCTCGTCTAGCCCCCCGACGGCCGGGCATCGAGCGCAGACAGCCACCCCCTCTGTGTACGCCAAATCCTCTGCTATCGATCGTCCGGGGTTGGTCTCTCTCTCTCTCTCTCTCTCTCTCTCTCTCTCTCCGCTGCTGCCTGTGTTATGCTAATCGCTACACGTGTCCCGCGCTCGGTATTCTTCCCGTGGCCCCTCGCATCTGCCACCGGGCTGCGCAACGCGACCTTCCGATTCCTTCCGATTTCTTCCGATTGTTTGCGCAGCGAGCGACGAGGAGCGCGTGGCAATTGCGGGCCGAGCTCTGGCTGCGAGCGCAACGAACGGACGGCTCGCGAGGCCCAGAGGCAGCGCCAACGCCGAGCACCCGTCGACGCAGCTCGCCCTTAACGATGATTAATCGCGCGTGGGCTCGGACCGGCGGGGCTGCGCGCGCCCGAAGCTGTGCCGTTACGCGGCCTCTCGCTTAATGGACCTCTTATCGCGGCGCGCGCTGCTCGCTTTTGACCGCGCGTCGATGTGTTTTCGAGGGCTGTCGGCGGGCAGAGGGGCCGAGCGAGCGATAGCGAGCACCCAGCGCCAGCTTAATTGACAGGCAGGCGCTGATATTTGGCAACGAGAGTCGCCGGGATGCAGCGTCAGTAGGCGCGGCCGAGAAAAAGGAAAGCAGCGCGCCGACTCTCGAAAGTCACCGAAATCAAGGAAAACGAGCTGGCTTCGTCAAAAAGGAGAGCGAGGCGCACGCCCACGCGAGACGAGAGCGGCGCGGCTCTTTCTCCTTTCTCTGCATAATGCGGCTAATGTACGTGTGGCGTGTGGCGCGTCCCGAGCCGCGTCTCTCTCTCTCTCTCTCTCTCTCTTCCTCAAGGCGATGCTGCCGCCTTTCCTGTCGCAACTGCCTTCCTGCAGGCTACCTTTGCGACTGTATATATGTATTTTTTTAATGCTTCTTTAATTGCTCGCACGACAACTTGGCCTCTCGCGCCGAGTCCCACGCAAAGCCCTGCTGCACGCCTGTGCCAGTCTTCGGCTGCTTTCTGGAATCCAATTGGACCAAGAGCGCAACGGAGTCGGCGTCGTGTACCCGGTGCGCCGTGTTAAAGCGGAGTAGAAGTAAAGCAGCGCGCGTTTCCCCAATCGTTGAATCATTGTATGCAAATGCAGGTTCTGGCTGTGTATCTGTGTATTTGTATTTGTGGTCCCGGAGAAAATGGCGCGAGCGCGCATAATGAGCTTGCTCGGGCGCTAAATAAAGCAATCGTAAATTAGGAATGTTATTGCTCATAGAATTTTGCCTTTTTGCACGCCGTTTACGATCCGTCAAACAAAAGCCAAATGGTCCGTCGGCGGAGGCACGCGCGTACAGCTATTTCTAAAATGTGCTTTGCTGATTAAATGCCCATAATAAACATCAGCCCCGGGGTGATGTATCGCCAGGCCTTACAATCATATCCTCGACGGACGCTGGAAAGTGAGACGATGAAAGTGCTTAATGAATATTTACAGCGGATTAGTGCGACGACCACCGGGGCTCGGACTCGGGACAGCATATAAATTTTCGGAAAAGCCGAAGCTGAGCAAGACGTCTTGGCGAGCGAACTGCGGTGTTCGTAGCCGACTCTGACGAATGGAAAAGCGGGGAGCGAGCAGAGCACTCGATCCTCGGCAAGAGGAAAAATCGTCCGAGGCGACGATGAACAAGCCCGAATTAATAGTTGAGCGATGCATAGGTGCGAGCTCGAAAAAGGCAGCTAAAGAGCGCGGCAAGGCGATAAATTACTGGTGTATCTGTGCGTAAATCAGAA